TAAGATAGTACATGTAAAATATAATGGATAATAGAATAATTCAACTCCAAAGAAGTTAAAGTGATAGAAACTACTTATAATTGTTAAAATAATATTAATGGTTTCAAGAATTATTAACCCAATATTACTAATAATTATGAAAATCTTCATAAAAAATAGAAGAGTTGATAAAAATTTTCTTGAAATATTTAATTCTTTAAAGAAAATCCCTTTCATTAAAAAATGATATAATCATAATCATATCTTCACTCAGAATGATACAATTATGAGTTTTCCAAATAAAATTAATAAAAATAATAAAAGTATAATAAAAATACAATAAAAATATAAATATTAAAAAAAAAGAAAAAAGAAAACCTATACAACTAGACAAATATAATATTGATGAACACAACAATCTATAATCAATTACTTGTTCAAATAGTAGAAAATCAATTTGGTAAATTTGTTGGACAAATAACAAAATGTTTATTAGTTAAACCATCAACCATTTTTGATTTATGGAGACAATGTCATCAGCCATATTCAAAAATGTATGAAGCACTTTTTGTGTTACTTCATCACAGTATATTGAAATATTCAAACGAAGAGCCAGTAATTATTTCTATTGATCAAAACCGTATATTATTTTCATTACGCCACTCACATTTTATTGCATTAATGCAACAAAAATTTGGGGAATTAGCTAAAGAAATTTCAACAACATTGATTACATACGGTATGCTCAATTTTGAAGATATATTTGCTGTTCTTCAATCAAAGAATATTGATGTAAAAGAAAATGATTTAAAAATTGTGTTTGATGAAATGGTTAAAGAGAAATATATTACTCGAGTAAATAAAAATGTTGTTGATTTAGTTCAATTAGAACGTACAAGTACTCCAGCGCCATCGTTTTCTACTGTAAAACAAAATGAGAATGTTAGAAGAAAAGGAATAAGAAAAAGAGGAAAAGTTGATGTTGTTACTGAAAATCCTATTCCTAAAAAAGTTAAGGTTGGAATTGATTTAAAGGCACAAACAAGTATAAATTCTTCTACAAAGGTTGAAGATTCTGATAATAGTCAACCAGTTTGGACAGTGAATATTGAAGTTTATAATAAAGAAACTATCTTATATAAATTGTTAGATTTAGTTAATAAGAAATTCGATAATAAAGCTGTTCCAATTATTGAAAAAATGTGGGATTTATCTGCATATGGTAAAACTCCTGTTGATTTTGCTATTTTGTGTCAAAACTTAAGAGAGATAGCACCTGAAACAATTAGAAAATATCTTGAAATGATGAGTAGAGATGAACCTTTTATTATTGCAAAAAATCAATCAGCATTTGTTAGTGATACTAATAGTTTTAAATTACGTTTGAAAATTATTTTTTTATTAATAATTAATTAATAATACTTATATGTTAGAGGTGGATGCTGCAACAGCATTTTTAAAGGGGGTTATGATTGAGTCATGTATTCAATCAAAATTTGGAGTTATTGGAGCAAGTATTCATAGAGTATTAAAAATAAAACATATTCTAACTGATTCTCAAATAGCTGATTTATTAATTGGAGAAGGAGACGAAGTTAAACGAGGATTATATCAAATGCACCAAGCAGGATATATCAATGGACAAGAAGTTCCTAAATCAAATATAAGAGGTGGCAAGAATTCATATTATATGTGGTCTATTAATTTTTCACAAATCAATGCCATTTTATTAAGTGAAACAGCAAAATCATTGATGAATACAATGGATCGATTAAAGTTAGAAATATCATCAAAATCTGCGTTAATAGCAAAATATAATGAAGGAGTAGAAATTGGTCAAATATTATTAAATGAAGAAGAAAATGAAGAATATATGAATTTAGATAGAAGACAAAAAATGCTATTAGATGGGTTGTATTACCTTTCTGGTCTATTCTTCTGTTTGAAAGATTATTAAAACAAATTAATTTGTTTTGATTTATTATTTTTATTATCATTGTATCTTTAAAATTTATTTTGTTAAAAGAGAAAAAAAATATTGAAAGAATTAAATATTAAGTGAAAATATATTAATACAAATTACTCAAACTGAATAGCTAATAATCGTTTACAAACTATTGAACTTCTTTGAAGTGTGAGTGATAATATATCTTGTATTTCTTTACAAGAGAATGAATGAGTAATTGATTCAGAAAGACTAACATTACCATTTGACTTAATTGTAAAAGCGTTAATACAAGAAAAGATCGTGTCTTTTTCAGGATAATAATATAATTCAATATTTGGTTGATTTTTGTTTAATCTTTTCATAATAGTTTCACAAACTGAAATGTTATCTTTAATAAAAAAGATAAATGAACCTTTTGAATAGAATTTATTACTTGAACACTTGCTAAACGGTCCGATTATATCTTTATGAAAACATCCAAATCTAATTCCATCTGCAATACATATAAACAAAATACTTTCTTTTCCAAAAACTTTAGAACTTAATATCCTATTATCTAGTCCATCTTGATTTGAATCAAATATTATCTTTTCTGTTTTAATTCCAATATTTCTTCTAATAAATCCAATACGTTCAACCAATCGATAAATTGGTTTTTCATTAATTAAATTTGGAGAAAGATAACTAGATAAATATTGATCATTTATACTTCTTCTTTGTTGTGGTTTAGATGGTAACTTGAGTATTTCAGATGAACTTTTTTCTAGAGGCCTAAAAAAACTCCTTGATTCGGGGCTTGTTGATGGTATTGAAGTTATGAATGACATATGTTCAATTGAATTAGTGGTATCATCACAATCTTCAGAACTTGTATCTGAACTAGAATGAAATCTAAAGAGTGTAATGCATTTCTTCCTAGTAAAACTCTTAATACAAAAGCTTCTATTAACACCCTTTTTAGTTTTAATGGATTCTTTACTTGTCTTCATTCACTAAAAAGAACTAGGTTTGGATCAAGGGGGTCTATACTTTAAATTAACTTCGAGAACAGCAGAAAACTCTATGATTTCAATTTACTTTGGAGTAACATAAACAAAAATAGAACACTTTAAAAAACCTGAAGTTATTTTTATTTTTTTCCCACTCAAATCAAAAGAATCTGTATTTGTTAATTGGAAATATATTAATGAGTGGAATTCTTTAAATTTACTAAAATACTCAATAACGTTTAGTATTCATTCATCATTCCTTAATTAAAAAGTATTAAAGCCTATTAACTCTATGTTCGTTATCACACATCAGCTGAAATAATTTTTAAGGAATAACAATACTCATGACTTTTATTTAATGAAAAATAAAAATGTGTAATTAAATATGATATATATAACATTCAATAACTATTCAAAAAAAGGGTTAATGTTCTTCAAGATAAAACAATTATAAATGCATTAACAATAGAAAGTATTAAATATGTAATATCTTTTTTATTAATGAAAAACTTATTGAACAATAAGATTAAGTAAAACTCAAGAAATTGAATTTTTAAATAACAAAAATATTTAAATAATAAAAAAACTATTGAAAGAAGTAAATTCTTAAGAAAAAAGAAAAAATAATAAATAAAACCCTAAAAATTTTACAAAAAAAGTACTAGGGTTGAAAAAAGCCAGACAACAGATATGGCTGTACTGAACAAAGCAATCAAAGTTAAAGGAGATGAAATGAATGAAGAAGAAGCAATTAAGTTGTTCCAAACTAAACGTTTAATTAAGAACATTGAACAAGCCCGAGGAGATGGTACATCAATGATTACTCTTATTATGAAACCAATGGAACAAATCTCTAAAATGATGCAAAAATTAGTTGAAGAATATGGAACTGCAACTAACATTAAATCACGTGTCAACAGACAATCCGTTCTTACTGCAATTACATCAACTCAAAATCGATTGAAGTTATATCATGTAGTCCCACCAAATGGACTTATTATTTATTGTGGATCAGTTTATACTGAAAAAGGAGAAAAGTTATTATGTATTGATTTTGAACCACCTAAACCAATTAATACATCGACATATCTTTGTGATAACCGATTCCATACTGAAGCTCTTAATGACTTACTTCAAAATGACGATAAATATGGATTTATTATTATGGATGGTAATGGTACTTTATTTGGTACTCTTCAAGGAAATACTCGTACTGTTCTTCAAAAGATTACCGTTGAATTACCAAAGAAACATGGTAGAGGAGGACAATCATCTGTTCGTTTTGCTCGTTTAAGACTTGAAAAAAGACATAATTATGTACGTCAAGTAGGTGAATTAGCTGTACAAAATTTTATCACTGATGATAGACCAAATGTGTGTGGACTTATTCTTGCTGGTATTGCAGATTTTAAAACTGTCTTAAACAAATCAATGTTATTTGATCAAAGACTTCAAGCAATTGTATTGAATATTGTTGATGTGTCTTATGGAGGAATGAATGGATTTAATCAAGCTATTGAACTTTCTGCTGAAACATTAAGAAATGTTAAATTTGTTGCTGAAAAAGATTTGATTAATTCTTTCATGGATAATATTAAAATGGATACTGGTAAATTTGTTTTTGGAGTTCAAGAAACATTAAAAGCATTAGAAATGGGAGCTGTAGAAAAATTAATTGTTTGGGAAAATCTTCCTACTATTAGAATTGAATTAAAACATCCACAAACTGATGAACGAAAAGTTCTTTATTTAAAGAAAGAATCAGAGGCTGCAGAAAATGGAGTTATAAAAGATCCAGAAACTGGAGTTGACTTCCAATTAGTAGAGAGTGAATCATTTGTTGATTGGTTATCAAAACATTATAAAGAATTTGGAGCTCATCTTGAATTTGTTACAGATAAATCTCAAGAAGGTGCTCAATTTGCAAAAGGATTTGGAGGTATTGGAGGTATTTTAAGATACCAATTAAGTATGGATGAACTTGATGATAATTTCAATATGAATGAAGAATTTGAACATGAAGAAGATGATGACGATGATATTTTTGGAGATGAAGCAGATCATTTCCAAGATTTTGATGATGAATTTGGTTTGTAAGGACTTTAAAAAAGAGGGACAATGGCAGAAGTGACTTCTTTATCAGAATTAACACAATTGCTTTTTTTTCTTATGAACAATTTCTTTATTTTCAGTTACCAAATTTTTTTATTTTATTTGTAAGTTATCTTTGAATAAAGAAATAAGTAATCTAATATTAATTGGTTGTAAATAAATCACTCATATTTTATATATTTGTATATTTATTAATAAAATAAAAAACAAGTTGTTGAAAAGCGGTTATGGACCACAGGTACCAAAGAAGAAAAAAGAAAAGATAGTTGAATTAATCATTGAAGAAGTTCAACTGGAGATTAGAAGATCCTTAGTGTTAAAAAATTATTTAAATGGACAACCCTTAGATCTATAAATAGTCAGAAGAGATGCTCGACTTTGAATTAACAGTCTACATCTTAGTATGTTATTTCGTCTGTGTGATTGGTGGATTTATTCCGTTCTTTATTAAATTCTTACCAAACAGAAAACTTGCTGGTGAAATTTTAGATGTTTGTAGTGCATCAGCTGGTGGGTTATTCTTATCTGGTGGATTAATGCATATGTTAGCTGAAGGTACTGATATGATTGATCATTCAGGATATGATTTTCTTGGTCTTCCACTTGGATTCTTCTGTTGTGGTTGTTCATTTTTGTTTATCTTTTTCTTTGATAGAGTAGTAGCAACACATGGAGGTCATGCTTCATTTGAAGATGCAGGAAAGGTATCAGGGTTTGTTATATATTTATTATTACAAACGTAACTTTCTTAAGACTTTATTTCGTTGAAAACTATATTTATTTTTTAGAGAAGAAAATGATCCTCTTATGGAAGAAGGGTCTCATAGACATGAACATCACGCAGATGAAGGAGCAGGAGGAAAGGGATGGTGTTCAATTATTACATTAATTTTCGCTTTATCGTTACATTCTTTCTTTGAAGGTCTTGGATTAGGTGTTTCAACCAGTCCAACTGCTATTTTTATAGCAGTTGCAGGACACAAATGGGCTGATTCAGGATTCACTGTTATTTTCTTAATGTCAAAAATTCAATCACTACCAATTGTTGCAGTTATTGTATTAGTTTTTTCAACATTTACCCCTATTGGCTCATTATGTGGAGTACTAATTGTTGAGTTATTAGGAGATTCTCCTATTTCTGAATTAATTCAAGGAATTTTAATTTGTTTAGCAGCAGGAACATTCTTATATGTAGCTATTGTAGAAATCCTTACTGAACAATTTGAAAATGGAAAATACAAATACATTAAATTTACATTAGCTGTTATTCTTTTCCTTGCTATGTCATTTGTTACTATGTTAGAAGGAAATTAATCGGTTCAAATATCATCAAAAGTAAAAGTAATTTAATATTATCAGGAATGTTTTTATAATATTTTTGGTTTTTCTATTAGATTATTGTTTCTGTTGTTATCTTTTTCTTATCTTTATTTTTAGTATTGGCATTTTCCTGTGTTTGTTTCAACCTATCATTTTACAAAATCATTTTTTAAAATGAAATATTGAAATAAATAAGAGATGAAAGATATTTCTTTCAAAAAAAAAAATAAATTCTTAAACAAATCAATTCAAAGATTCTAATTATTGAAATGATGATTCTTCATTCCATGATTTGTTCTATCTATTCAAAGAATACCATTTTAGTAAATTGATGCATTTGTTAAACTAATTAATCTGTATAAAATTTTATTAAAAAATATATAACTTTTATTTACCTGAAAAAAACCGAGTATAGCTCAAAATAATCAGCTCAAAAAATTATTTATAAATGAGTAATAAGAATATTAACCAACAGTTAAACTAACAATATTAATTAGTTATACAAAATATATCAATTAATAAAAAGATGGAGTTAGAATTTATTTTAAGTATTTATTTGTAGACTTGAAAGGTTTTGTGTTTTATGAAAATGGAAATATTAAAAGATTAATTTCAAAGTTATTACACAAAAAAACCAGAAGAAGAAAATAGAAAATATATTGGTTTACTTAAATTAAAGGGAGTATTTTATTGATACATTGAATAATTTTTCATAGGGAAATTATGTAAATAGAATGATATTATTTTATTAAATGTCATTATTGTGTATAAAAATGATAACAAAAAATAAAACTATTACTATAATTATTTTTTATTTATAACAAGATGCAATAAATAATAATAACTAGAGTCTGTCAAATAATTAAAAGAACTTTAAAGGAAAACATATTATGTTATTAATAAAGATAATTCTTAATAAAAACTGTTTCTTTCTGTGTTTTCAGAAATAATATTTAGATTAGTTTTATTTGTTTATTTTTTAATTAAAATTAAAAAAAGATTAAAAAGAAATAAATTAATTAGTTTGAACTCCCCAAGCAATAACATGCCTGTCTAAACCAGCTGTATAAAGAACACTCTCATCATAACTAAATGAAGAGCAAATTTGAAGTCTTAAGTGCTCTCTTTGTAAAACATCAGCACCAATTTTTAACTTACCATGACGTAGTCCATTTGAATCAATAATAATCCAGGACTTATCTTCTGCCTGTACAAGGAATTTATCATTTTGAGAGATATTTATTTTAGAAGGGTATGATATTTTATACATTGCCTTAGGAACTTTCATCATTTTAGTATCCCATATTTTTACTATTTTGTCAAAACCAGTTGATACAATTGTTTTTCCTTGTTCACAAAATTGAGCTGAAATACATGAACTACTTAGATAAACAGTTGTTTGATAAATAAAAAAAATTAATAACAAACTCGGAATGTGCATTAATACATTCTATTCGAGCATGGTTTGGGGTCCTAATATCTATAAGTCTTAAACTACCATCAGTTGCTGTACATGAGAGAATTGGAGAATAAAGGTCAGAAGCTAATGAAGTGATATGATCATTTATACCAATACTAGAACTGATTGATGAAATATGTTCACCACGTAAGTCATAAACACCAACAACACCACCCCAAGTTGCAGTATAAATTGAATCATTACTTAAACACACACCACTAACAATGTCACCAATTTTAACTTCAGTTGTTGGTAATTGTTCTTTATGGTCTTCATCGATCGTTACACCAATTTTAAATAAACGAACAATTCCATCACCACATCCTGTAGCTAATAGGTGTTCAGTTGGATGAAACATTAATGAAGAAACTGGTCGTGGATGAACTAAAAATTGAAGACATTTACCTGATTCAGCAGTAGATATACGAGCACTTCTATCTGAACTTGCTGTTGCAAAAATACTCATATCCCAAGGACTACATGCTAAGTCAAGAATACAATCACGATGCAAAATATAATTATGTAAAAATTTCCAATGTTCTGTTGTTTTTTTACTAACATAATGAGAATAAGTTGATTTTTGTGGTTTTGGTTTTTTTGTATCAACCACATCTGATTGATAAAATTTGACATTTCTTACATTTGGTTGAACTTTTAATCCTTCTAATTGTGCAATGACTTTAATTTAAGTTTTTGTATTTGATAAAAATTAAAAGACAAACGTGCTTTGTTATCTTCATATAATAATGTGTATTCTTTCAAAATATCTTTTAACAAATCGACAAAACGTTCATTTCCAAAGTTTGTTTGAAATGAAGGAGGAAGTGATGGAATGAAATCATTTGAATGTTCTTCTGGAACTTCAGTCATAAAACAAAAAGAGTGAATGAAAAAAAGGAATTTTTCTTTTTTGTTTTTAGTTTTTTAAGATAATAAAATTATATCTTTTTTTGTTTCAATAAAAAACAATAATAAAAACAATTTAAAGAATTTTTTTGTTTTTAAATTTTGTTTTTTAGAATTCCTTTTTATTAATATTAGGAAAAAAAAAAAAGGATAATTTAAAAAAAAAAAACGAATGGGCTTTAAGATCTTTGTTTAGTTTCAAATAAGGATCTAGAATATTCCATGAGAATATATAAAATAGTTTTATTTTTAGTAGTATATCTAAAATCAAATGAGATTAATTAAGATAATCTATAATATTCGAAAAATAAAATTTGTTTGTCTAGATGCATTCTAGTAAAATAAAATAGGCTATTTTTGAGTCGAATGATTTTAATTTGTTAAGTTTGATCATTATTTAAATTCAGTTATTTTTCAAAATTTCATATATTGCCATAGCTACCCCTTTCACGGCAATCAAGAAAAAAAGGTAAAAACATTATAGAAATGAATTTAAAAAAATTCAAAAAAGTTAATAATTAATAATAAAAAGCAGATTAAGAACATAGAATTTTTTTCAGTCAATTAAGAACCAAGAAAAATTGTTAGATTTTAGCGTTAATTTTTAAATGAAAGACAAAGGGTTTTGAAGTTGGGACCTTGGATTAACATCTTTTGTTTTGGAAAAAAATGTTTCTTTAGTGTATTTAAGGATTGGGACTAAATAATAATATCAATCAGATAAATAAATGGATTCTCTTATGAACAAGAAAAACGATGATGCCCTTAACTTTAATATTAATAATATTCATAACAATAAAATTCAAACTCGTTCTCCTGTTAAATCATTTGAAGGAGATGAAATACCAAGATTTAAAGCAAGACAAATTGAGGCTATGAATTATCAAGCAGATCTTCAAGCCATTTTAATTGCTTTATTAACTCAATTTTCAACTATTTCAGTTGGAAGACCTCATAGAATATCACATCTTACTAAACAATTCATTAAAATAAAGAAGATTGTATTTAGTGATCAAAATGATTCAATTGATGTTCTTCAATATATTCAAACTCGTTCAAAAGAACAAGCTCAATATGAATTTAAAGTTGGAAATACTACAAAGAAAACTGCTAAAAGAAGAATTCAACCTACTAAAAGAAGAGAAGCAATGAGATTTTTACAAGATATACTTAATGAGTTTGGTTATTTTGTTGAAGTAGAGATAGAAACTATTGATGGTTATGAAGGAGAAGTTACTTTATTTTTAAATGGTCATTTCTTTTTAGGGTCTAATCAAATTAAAATTCTTGGAAACCAAATAAATAAAAAAATATCATCTATGTTACAAACTAATGCCAATATTGTCTTAGATTCAAGACTCTACAATTCTACTTTCTTTTAAATACTAATTTGTAAATCATTAATTCGTATTTTTCATTTTCAATTTTATATCTATTAAATTAAAATTTATTATTATAAAACAAAAAAAAATAAGTTTTTATTATTTATGTTATTTAAATACATCACCATAAGCTAATAAACTAATTATTCATTTGATAATGTTTACAGTAATTGAATCACTTGCAGAAAAGGTTCATGTCCCTGCTGATCAAATAAGATATCTTTTAGCATTTTTTATAGAATTACCATTATGTTATATTTTACGATATTTACCTTCTAACCCAAGATTAAAACATTTTGTTTATAGTACAGTTGGTGTTATAATGTTATTATTTGTATTTGGTATTAATTCATTGATCATTATGATACCAGCATTGATAACATATTATTTTATGAAATGGAAAAAATCATTACATATGGCACTCCTTATGTTTTCTATGAATTTAATATTTTTAACTTTATTGCAAATATATAAATATATTAATTATTATCTTCAATGGTATTTAGATATTACTACATTACAAATGATTGTTGTAATAAAACTTGGTAATTTTGTTTTTAATGTAGCAAAAGGAAGTAATACCAATATTATAAGACAAACAGATTACAATAAGATGAATAATATTCCAAGAGATCAATTTCCTTCATTACTTGAGTTCATTGGATATTTTTATTTCTTTCCATCTATCTTCAGTGGACCTTGCATTGAATATCAAACGTATAAAAAATTTGTTACGTTAGAATTATTTGAGTCATACCCAAACAATCATTTAAAAAACAAAATTCCTCCAATTGATTGGAAACAATTCTTTATTGTTTTTGGTCAAGGAATTATTTTATTAGGATTAACATCTATTGTAATAATGATTCCATTAAAAGCTTATTTCTATGAAATAGTTATTAATAATCCAAATGATTATTCTTTTATTCAAAGAATGGGTATGGTAATGATTTTTATTTATTCAATTGTATTTAGATATTTTGCAACATGGAAAATGGCAGAATGTATGGGCATTTTATTTGGATTTGGTTATTCAGGAATACAAGAAAATAAACCCATGTGGTATGGATTTAGAAATGTTAAATTAAATGATTTCTTCTTTTCTAATTCAGCTAAATTAGTTATTGATTCTTGGAATATTTATATTCAAACATTTATGAAAAATCATATCTATGAATCATTTGAATTATTTGGAGGAGTATTAAATAAATATAAACAATCATTGACTAACTTAATTAGTGCATTTTGGCATGGTATTTATCCTGGTTATTATCTTTCATTTGGTATGTTAGCATTACATCACGATGTGTCTTGTGGTTTTCATTCTAGAATTGAACCAATAATAATAAAGAAGTATGGAAAAGATTCATTAATATATTACAGTTATTGGGTACTAACATTTATCTATGCACGGATATCCATTTCATATTCTTTTATTCCATTTGTGATTTATACATTTATTGATTCATGGAAATTCTTTGTTAACACTTATTTTTGTGTTGATGTCATTGGGTTACTAGCTCTAATTATTTTATATGTTTGGTTCCCTAAACAACAAAAAAGAGATAGAATTGACTGAATTTAAATTGTAATTTTAATTAAGTTTTCCACCAGCCATTAAAACTTGTTGTGCTTGCTGATTTCGTTTGTGTCTTGCTTGTTCTAATTTTTGTACATTTTGATTTGCTTCTAGTATCAATTTTTCCATATCTTTTTTAAATTGTTCCATACGTTTTGCTTGTGCTAAATAAGCATTTCCTTTAGGTCGATAATTGTTTGTGTCTTCCTAAATGATAAATAATCTACAAATTAAATAACATAGAAATAATAACAAACAAGAAATACATCAATTGGGATTGGGCTAGATTGAGCAGATGTTAATAAAATGATTGTCATAAAGAAAATGAAAAATAACATGATAATAATGATAAGATATTATAATTTATAGTTTTTTTTTATTTTATTTTTTATATTTTTTATATTTTATTGATTTTTATTTTTTATAACATCAAATAATTATTTGTTTTTGTTTTTTATTTTATTAATAAGTTAATAGTACGGATCTCATTAATTCTATTATTTTCGGATAAAAAGATGGCAACTGGGTTTAGTAATTTTACCATTATAGTTATCATCATTTCATCAATAACTGCAGTTTGTTCTTTCTATAAATAATATTGTTTGTTTGTATTGACCTTATTAAGACAGTTGGCATTTTTATGATAGGACATGGTTGTATTTGTTTTTATAATCAAATATCTTCCAAACATGCATTAGGTGATTATTCTGTTTCTAGCCTATCTTTAATTTGTGGAGTTGTGGCTGTTATTGTAGCAATTATTGTATTTTATTTATATCAAATTCACTCATCACTGTCATTTATTATTGCATTTTCTTTATTATTTATAACAACTCTTTTAATGTCTTCAGTTACTTTTATTGCATTCATTGATACTTATTCTGTTCGTTCATTAGTTAAAGAAAATACCTCAAAAATGATGTCATTAGAGTATGAAGTTTGTTATTAAATATTTAAATTTTATTCAAGTCATTCACTTATTTAGTTTGAATGTTGTGGTTATAAATCTCAACGAGAGTATTGTCAATATTTAAATAAACCAACTTGTTATTCGAGAATTGTTAAACCATTTATGACATTTAGAATGTTATGTTCCATTGCATTTCTCTCTTTGTTAATAGAAACTATATCATTTGGAATATTTCTTTGCTTATGGTTTGATGGACTTGAAGCACAACCACAAGATATGATCACTTTACATATTTCACGTGTTGATTGATATTCTTTTTGTTATTATTTTTCATTAAAACTTATATGTAATTATTATCGTCATTTCACCCTGAGAGTAGTTTAATCCTTTTTTTTATTAGGTTAATAAAAAAATTAATCATTAACTTTATTTTGTTGTTCAAATGATCAATGTTTTAAGAAGTTAAAGCATAGCTTGTTCAAAAATACTGATTAACATTGAAACTAAAACAGAAAATTTTAAATACTTACAGTACTACTTTAGAAACAGTTTTACTGTAATAATTCCAAATAATAACTTTACTAAGAGATAAACGAAAGCTTGAATTTTAAAAAAAAACTGTGGTTATTCATGAATTATAAAAATGATCTACTAAATAAAGATTACTAATTTCAAAAATGTTTTTGATGAAATTATTTCTTTATATCTCATGTTGTTATTTAATACTTAGACATAAAACTATATAAATTTAAGAACAATTTACCTTCTTATTATCTGATAAAAACTAATAATAACTAATTGGTTCTTTATATTTAACATAATGATAATGTAATCGTTCAAATTACTAAAACAATTAATTGGATATAAATAAATTTAGAATCCACTACTTCTTGTTAAAAGGTACCAGTAAAATTAAAGTTGTAGTATTGTTTAATAAAAAAATAGTGTTAATATCTTGAGCTTGATAAAACTATTAAAACGAGATTCAGTAAATAAGATGAAAACTTGAGATTCAGTCATATGATTCAAACTCAATACACATCATATACTAATACAATCAAACAATTTGTTTTTGATATACAGTATCCTAATTCAAATCTATTATCTGAGATAGTTCAACCAAATAGAAGAATACAAGATATCTGTTTAATTGGGATCAAGAAAAGTGATTGGAAAGAAATTGAAAATGATATCTGCAATTCAGAATATACCACTCATAAAATTGAAATGGTTGAGGACGTTTCACAAGACAATGTATTGGAGGTGGTATATTATTATAAACGGCCTCAACGGTATTACTCATTTTGTGACATTATGAACCATCGCTCAAAAAAAAAGTATAGAGATGAAACTAAAGCATTATTATCTTTGTTTCAAATAAACATTCATTATAAATATCAAACACTATCAATAACACAAAAATATATAGTTCATATTTGTTGTATTCTCATAGGATATCCTAAAGTAATTATTTTAAATTATTTAAAATATCCTTGTCATGAAGTCATAAGTGGGTTAAAGTACATTTCCCATTTTGTACCAACTATTCTTGTTTTTCCTGAAATAAATCATGATTATTTCTTTTGTGACTATACTATTTCTGAACAAGAAACAATTGAATATAACTCTCAACTTTATCAATTAAAAGATGATATTATCCAAATAATTGAATCAGTCTATCCTATCACAAGCTATCATTACTTTGAGGAATTTTACCTTTGTGTTGTAGAGTGGGGTTATCAATTCGTTGAAGTTACTAAAAGAAAGTATAGAACAGGGTGGAGATATCCCATAAATATTATCCTTCATCTTTTTCTCTTTACAATTGGAGGTATTTCTATTGGAACAGTATTTTTATTAGTAAATTACAACCAAACAACATTAATTCAAAAAGTAAATGTTCTTTACTTTGCAACTATTAGTAAAACATTATTTACTATTGACCAAGTTATTTATTCAGTAAACAATATGATTCAGATACGAAAAGAAAATCAGGTACATAAGGTTCATGCTTCAGCTTATATTCTTGCAGACTATATTTTCAATCTACCAACAATGGTATTAAATCCAACATTATTTGATATTGTGTTTTATCCTTTTGTTGATTTCCAACCTTCAATTTGGAGATTTTTAAAATATTGGTTTACATCTTTATTGTCATCTCAAATAAATGTCACTATGAGTGCATTAATTGGATATATCATTATTAATAAAAAGATTGGTACTTTTTTAGAAATAGCAATTATTTATACCTTAATGTTATTTAGTGGAACTATCAAGAATTATTTAAATCTTCCTAAATGGCTAAAATGGATTTATACTATTAGTTATTATAGGATTACACATAATATATGTTTTAGTATATTTTTTGATGGAGTTGATTTATTATGTGATGAAGAAGATATTCGTTTAAATAATTGTATATATCAAAATGGTGATGTTTTTCTTAAAAAACTTAGAATTGACACAGATATTCTCAGACAAATGTTATTTCTTTTTATTTGGATAATCTGCTTAAGAGTTGGAGCAATAGTATTAATTCGTCTTCACTTATTCTTAGATTTCTATAGTTTTAATATCCCATCATTTGGATACTTCTATTCAACGCGTCTTCATTATTTTTTACACTCTTTAATGAATAAATTAACACATTAAAATAACCTTTCCTTACTCTAAATAATCAACTTCAATTATTTAACTTATTCTTTAAATAAACCATCAGAACTACCAATAAAATGGTGTGATACTGTAATTTCTAAACTAAAAGGCAAAGTACTATAACTGTTAAAACATAATTGCTGTATCAAATAAGGAAGAAGAAGTAATAGCTCATAACCAAAAAACCAGACACTGACTAAACCAATTTTATACAAAAGAAACTAACCATAATAGAAAACATTTAAAACTCTAAAAGAAGATCAGTTAGCAGTCACACAATTAATTTAAAGGTTTGTTATAAAATGATTGAAAATTTATAAGATAAAGAATTAGAGAAATGTATAATTCTAGATTATTATGGTGATCAATTACATTATTTTTTATTGTCAAATCCCCTTAGTTTCATTTTATATTTTGTTGCTTTGAGGCTATGTTTTATTACTTTTTCATTTGTATTGTTTACAAAATAAAGTTAGTTTTTGAACCAAAAAAACAAAAATGAGTTTTTTTAATTTCCTATTTCTAAAATAAATAGAAATAAAACAAACAATAGAGGAAATAGAGTGTGGTAGTGAAGTATAGCCGATATTAATATAATAAATAAAAATAGTGAAGATGTTTTAATGATTTAGATTTATTTTGAGTAAATGAAGTAAAATGGAGTTTTCATTCTTTTCTTTATTATTCTTTTATAATATTTACCAATATTTTTACTATATTCTTTTTTTCAATTAAAAATAAAAAGAAATGTTTATATTCTTTCTTTTATTCTTATTCTTTTATTCTTTTTATATTAATTTGTATATTAATTTTATAAGTTAATTATTATTCATTTAGAATTTCATTTAATCTGTTTCATAAATGTAAAGTAAATCATTTTCTTGGTTATTTTGTTTTAATTAATGAAAATATGAGATGTTAATACTTCTTTTATCTTCATTATTTGTTCTTATTGCATGTCATAATTCAGTAATTGCTCTCTCATCTTTCTTCTTATACATTATGATAATATAATTTAATTAAATAGCATTTAATTAATATATGAATAGTATTTGAATATATTGTTTTTATGTTGTTTTTTATATAATTAGTTATTGGTTCTCTTTGTTTTCTTATTGTTTATTATTTATTGAAATGAGATATAATAAATAATTTGATAATCATATTAATTAAATTATAATTATTATTTCAATGATATTCAAATCTATTTGATACACCTCATAATCATAATAATTTATATTTTGAATGATTGATGAGATAATATTTCATTAATTAAATAATATTATTCATTCTGTTTTGATTTTTCAATTGATTAAATAATATTAAATCAATTTGTTAAACAATATGAAATGTGTATGATATAATAATTAATAATGATATTATGATAAATAAATATTGAAATATCAATACATTATTTAAAGTTATTACTGTCATTGATTATTATTATAGTCAAAATTAATTTATTTTTTAATACTGTATTAAATAATTTTATTTAACATCATTTAACACAATATATTTATTATTGTGAATATTGTTCATTTAGAAATGTAATATATTGATAACTTATGATATTCTGAGAGAATTGATTTATCAAATATTTTATAATATATTGAAAAATCAAAATAAATAAAAGTCTCATCAATATAAATACAAATCATCATACTTCTTGATATAATGTTGTTCATTGTTTTGTAACTTCTATACATTCAAATAAATATACTTTTATTTACTTTTATCAATTCATTCATTGAAACATATTTCATTAACATCAAATAATAGTTTATATTAAACATCAGTATAAAATGATGATAAAATAATATAAATAGTAACAATTTCATTATATTTAATATCTATTGTGTATCATCTATTTTTAATAATAAAATATGTAAAATAAGAAATGAAATTAATGATAATCAAATCATTTATTAATGATGTTAAAATCCTGTTTAATATTTAATAATTCATTTATTAATGAAATAATAAATGATAATTTAGAATTAATATGTTTATTAAATTCACTAAATCTAAATCAATTTCTTTATTTATTTTCATTTATAATGTTTTATTTATATTATTCTCTTTTAATAATATTCAATATATTTCAATGTGTTATATTGAATATTAATGATAATTAATTCAATAATTAATTCATTTATATATAATATATTTGATCATTCATTACAACATTTAAATAACTTATTAATGAATGAATAATTAAAAATATTTCATTTAAATTAAATATAATACAATTGAATGATAAAATCAATATTAATTTATTAAATGACTCTTTAAAACAAGAATTTTTTAGTTTAATGAATAGAATCATGAAGACAAGAATAAAAATAAATAATGATAAGACTTAATGATAATGAAATATTTCAATATCATTCAAAATAACAATTAATAAAATAAATAACAAAATACCTAAATATAAAAAATAAATCTATTAATAAAAAAAATAATAAGATAAAATTATATAAAGAAAAATAAAGTAAAATAATAAAATAATTATAGTTTTTTCAAACTATATCTTACTTCCATCCATCTTTTACTTCAAATAGTATAAAAATAAGTCATTATGAATTACCTAGTAAAAAATTATTTTCTTTAAAGATAAATAAATCAATTATGAATTACCTATGATTAGTTTTCATCATTTTGAGAAGTGAGAAAGTTAGTTTTTTCAACTTTCTTTATTTCTACTGAAATAACGTTTTTTTTCAAACAAAAAATTATTTTCTCTAAAAATAAAACAAACTTTTAAATAATAAATTACAAATTTGTCTTCTTTATTTAAAAAAGGATGACGAGGTTTAAGTAAATTATTGTTAAAAAGAATTATTCAAGTTTTGAACTATTTAATAATATTTGTTTTATTATTTTATTATTCTTTGTTTATTAAAAAAATTCTCTTTTCAATTGAAATTTTATAATAACTCTTATCTATAATTAATTTCAAATAATTTCATTATTAAATATAAATTTTAATTTTCAATAAAATTTAATTTTTCTATATTAATTTATTTAATATACTAAAATAAAAAAATATAAACAAAAAATCTACTATAAAATACAAAAATTATATTTTAATTTTAGTAATACAACAAATTAACTTCTGTTTTTTCTTTACTTATATTTTATTCGTTAATACCTTCTTTAAATAATAATTGAGGTTTTATAAGTAAAGCACTAACTTGATTATCTTGAGACATAATTGCAATTCTCATTGTAGGAAATGATGGATATCCATTTTTCAAGATTGTTTCAACCAAATGAGGTGATTGGTTTTCATAAAGTACTATTTGTTGGAATGTAATATTCTACTAAGATAAATATCTAAAAATTAAAAAAGAATTAAACAAACTAAGATAATAAGTTGTTGAGAGAATGCAATGGCACAAACACGATTTAAGAATTGGACTGTTTTTTGATATAAAGGGGATGATATCAATAAATTACCTTGAATTAATTGAGATAATGAATTAATAATAATCATTTGACTTTTTGTTTCTTTCTAAAATTGATAAGAGTATTCTAATAAATTTAATTTATGTAATTTAAATAATAAACAAACAATAATACTTTCAAATAATTTATCTAATTTATAAAATGATTGAATAGTAATTACATGAATACGAGTGAAATAAATATTAATTATATCTGTTTCAGTACATCCAAATTGATTATTCAAGACATCAAAAACAATATCAAAATCAGGGTGCGAAAGAGTATCAATCCAAAGCACATCCCCATTTGTTGAAACTAAAAAAGAACATACAATAGTTATTATTACATGGTTGATTGGTCCATCAATATTTCCAATAAAATCATAAAATCTTCCTTGAACTAGTCCATTATCAGGTAATACATTATCAATTCTAGTTTATTACTCATAATCTTCTAAAATTATAAAAGTCATACAAACGCACTAATTCCTGTTGTAATAGGATGTACAGTAATAGAATCTTTCCAATCTTTGAGAGTATAACTTCTAGAAATTAATTGGAGGGATAATTTAAGTTGTAATTTTTTAACTTGCTCAAGGTCAGTGATAATCCCTTCGAACTTTGATAAAGGTGCTTTAATAAAATCATTAACTAACCAATTAATAGAATAATATTAATAATTTAATGATACAACAAACCAGTTGTAATATGGTTTTTAATTAATAACTCACACCCTTTACCACTAAAATATTGTTTTAAACGTTCATCTTCAATACGAGTGTTTCCAGTGATATAATTCATTTAATAATAAAATAAATAAATTTGAAGATAAAGAGATGAAACAGATAAAAATCTTAAAAACTAAAAAAACTTCAATCATTTCAACCAATCTTTAAACTCTTGGAATGGACAAAGTTTTACTTGACTATTACATATCCTTAATATTTGAGAATTATATGATACCCTGACAAAGTAATCAATCCCTATTTGAATTTTTTCTATAAAAATATGAGAACTATATGGAGGTAGTTGTATATCTTGTTGATGAAGAGAAACCATTAAAGTATATAATGTATCATCATGACCAGAAATGAGTTCTATGATAGGTAAGGAAGGAGTTGAGCAATTTGTTTCTTTACAGGTTGAAGTTCCATCTAAAAAGGAAACAATTTCATCTCTTAAATATTTTGTTGACAATGATGATACTTGAGAATCTAATAAATAACCTGCCATGTAACCTAAATACATTTCAGAAGAAATTACATCTTCCATAGTAATTTGTTCTTTTTCATTTGATGGAAATGGAAGATTAGAACAATGTAAGACTTGTAAATAATCATAGACATAAATAAATGATGTGATCAAATCTGTTTCTTTAAATTCTCCTTTAAATAGTCTTTTAAATTTAAAGATTAATTGTTTTATATTATCATTCATAGTATCTTCAAGTAATTTTAATCTTTTATTTCGTTCTGTAACTGTTTTATTATCAGTAATATAATGGGCTGCAAGGTATTGACTATTTGTTGTATCTATTAACTCATTATCTACTTTTTGATTTAATAATCCTTCTATTAGTGCTTTTGCTGAATTAATTGTTCTACTACATTGTGTACTCTGTACTTTTATATTTTCAAGAGTAATATTACCGATTCCATATTCCTTTAATAATTGGTTTATAGCAATTCCTAAATTATTCATTTGTTTTTTTCCTATATCAGTTAATTCACCAATAACACATTCTCCTCCATTACATTTTGTTTGATTAACATTTGCAAGAATACTATTTCTATCACCATGTCTTGATATAATTATAATTTTATTAAGTGTTGAGTTATTTAAAGGTTTTAAAGAAAAAGTAGGAATATTACAGAACTCTGCATAACAATAAGTGAAAGATATTTGAATAAGAATAATAATAAATAGAAGAAAGACCATCTCTTATTATTATTTTTTAAGTTCTTATTAAATATTTTTTTAAAGAGAAACAAAAATAATAATACATATCCTTTTTTTAGGAAATACTTTTTTTAATTTTTGCTAATGAACAGTCATCCACGTTGGTTATATTCTTTATTCTAAACAGGATCTAATTAGTTCCTATATTAACAATGACTGAAGTCATGAACACAAAACAGGCATTTGACTATTGGATAAATATAGAAAAAGAGTATTTAAAAACAATTAAATATGTTCCAAACCGTCCATTTAAAACAGTTTGTCTCTTTTAAGTCTTCAGTTTACATATAAATATTTATATAGTCTTTAGCCACATGAATTACAAGTATGGATTTGGAAAGAAATTTTTCAAGAAACTTCTCCATTTAGTGTTATGGATTTTATAGCAAAGTTACATCAAGTTAAAAAATTATGGCAAATGACTAGTAAAGATGAACTTCTTACAGAAGATGAACAAAAAGATAATAAAGCCTTAACCCAATTTTTTGGAGAAGACTTAAATGATAACACTTTATCACAAAGTCCAAGACTTACAGAAATAAGTAATGAAGAATATAAAGAGTTCGAAGAATGGAAAGAAAAAATTAAAAATTTTGAAGTAATGAATTCGATGATAAAAGAAAAAGAAGAAAAGTTAAAAAAAAAAGAAAATGAATTAATGGATAAAGAAAAAAAACTTTTAGATCAAGAATCAAATGTTCGATCACGTGAAGCAGAAGTTATGCTTTGTGATATTCAATACGATAAAAAAGAACAAAAACTAAAAGAAGTAGAACAAATGTTAGATACGAAAAAAAAAGAATTAAAAGAATTACAATTACAAATCAAAGAACAACAAAAAATACTTGATGAAAGAATTAAAACAATTGAAACTAAAGAACAATCAGTTGAAGGAAAAAAGAAACAATTAGAAATAGATGAAAAGGTCTTAAAAATTAGAATGGAAGAAGCAGAAAAAGTTATTAAATCACCAGAAAATATTACTCGTGTACACTCTATGGATTTATGTAATCTCAGTACATTAGCTTCCCCAAGAAGTCGTGGAAATAAACCTCTTACTCCAACAATGTCTTCTCCTAGAATGATGATACTTATGTCAAGAGAAAGAAAAGCATCATTGGATCCAAAAGAAGGTGAGGATACTTTATCAAATCAAGTAAGAAACTTATTAAAAGAAAACTTTACTCAAATGCAAGAAATAAATATTCTAAAAGAAGGACTTGAAGAAGCAAGATTAGAAAATATTAGACTAGCTGATCTTTTAAAAACTCAAACTGTATTCACTGAAATTAAATCAAAGAAAACATTAAGTGAAGAAGAAGTTGATCAATTTATTGAAGTATTAACAAAGCTAATTGATAATAAATCAAAAGAAACAAGAGAAGCAATGGCATTAGGTATTTATGGAATTGTTAAAATTCATATTCCAAAAACTCAAAATGCTACATTAAGGAAATCATTATGTAGTAAAACTAAATTTAAATATAGTACTAGACGTAAATCAGCAGATATGACTCCCTTAGAAATTAAAATTGAATCAGCTGAAATGGCACTCTCAATCAATCAATTTGCTAATGATGAATTTCATTATTTTCAGGGGTTAGTAGAATTTAATGAAATTTATGTAAAAGCTTTATTAGGAACAACTACGTATAAAAAACTCGGAGAACAAATTAGTAGTGTGCTAACTCCTTTAATAACATTAAGTAGAAATATTGTTAATGGATTAGAAGAATCTATGTCAAGAGAAAGAACACTTCCAATTGGTGAATTAATGAAAAAATATTTGGATAGTTTTAATGTATATACTGAGTATTTCTCTAATTATCAAACAATGACCAAAACATTCCCTGATATCCAAGAGAATCTTGATTTAAATAAACAAGTTGTACTATGTGTATCCTCTTATATACAAGCTCAAAGAGATGCTTCCATGTCTAATGGATCAAATCAAAATTTTACTCCACCATTACCACAATCACCAGCAGCTTACCTTCATTTCCCAATTGCAAGGTTAGAAGAATATGTTAAATTCTTTGCAACAACAATTAAACAATCAGCCCCAATTAATAATGATTATTCTGCATTAAATGATTGTTACGAAGCATTAAAAACGATATACAAATCGTCTTTGTCATTACTTCAAACAGCAGCTTCTTCAGATGATTTATCAATGGTTGAAATGATTTTACGAAAATCTACTGGAGCGTTAGTTCAAAAAAGAAGAAAGTTGTTGTATTACGGATTATTGATTCCTATTAATGAAGAATTTCCAAAAAAAGGACCAAGGTTATGTTTCTTAATGAGTGATATGCTTCTTATTACAGTTATCAAAAAAGTTAACGATATTCCTGTAGATGATGGGTGGGTTATGAGAAAGTTTACCTCTTCGATAGAATGGACTAAAAAAGATCTTATGTCATTAGTTATTAATGAAGAAATAAGAATTGAACTAAATCCACCAGTTACAGGTTTGGTTGTTAGTGATGGTGAAGTTCACAACGCATTTTTATTAATTCAAAATGATATCAAACTTCATTTTATTGCATGTTCAGAGTCTAATAGAGATAAGTGGTTGAATTTAATTGAGTCTTTGTAATGAAAAGAATGCTTTCTATACTAAATAAAATAGTAATGTAAATAATATTATTTATTATAAATTTAATAATATTATATTTTATTTGAATTAACCCTAAAAAAAAAACTTTGAGGGACATTTGATTGTATTATTGAAATGAACGAGGAATCAGCTCAAGCAGTGTATGCTTATTTAATTAAAAATGGACTTAAGAAAACAGCAAAATCTTTTTTAAAAGAAAAGAAAATTGAAATTAAAGGAGAAACATCTATTGACATTGACGAGTTGATTGAAGAAAAAATGAACAAACTTCAAAAAGAAAAGAAGCAAGAGGCAAGCAATGAAGACAACACTGAAAAGATAATTAAAAAACCAAAAACAGAAGAAACAAAAGAAAAGAAATCTAAAAAGAAAGAAACTAAAATAGCTGAGGAAGAAAAGGAAGAAGTTGAGAAAGAAGAAGTTAGTGTCAAAGAAAATGAAGAAGAGGAGACAAAAGAAGATACAAAAGCTATCAAAAAATTCAAGGGTGAAAGTGATGAGAAGAAAGAGAAAAAAGAAGCAAAGAAAGATGAAGGACATAAAAAGTTAAGTAAAGAAGAAAAAAAAGCTCTTAAGAAACAAAAAAGGGCTGAAAAAAAAGCTAAAAAACAAGTCGATGAAGAGAATGAAGAAAAGACTAGTGAAGAAAAAGAAAAACATACTGAATTAAAACAACAAACAAAAGAGTTTCAAATGAAAGGTTTAGAAAAAAAAGTAAAGAAACAAACTAACAATGGTTGGAAAGGTGGTAAATTTGGAGACTATAGTTGTAATGGAGAAAAAATTGATAGAAATAACGTTGAAAGAAAAGCTGCTGCTGCATATGGAGATGTAGAGAAGATTCCTAATGCTGCACGTACTCTTCATGAGACCAAAGGAAAAGGATTTCAAAAGTCCAAAACCAAATTAAAGAGAACAGACTTTAAAGGTAAGATTGATCCTTATGCCGTTCAATCCATCAAATTTGATGACTGATTTTATTTTTTGTTATTTATTTTGTTTATATTTATTTCTTCTATAAATAAAAAACTAATATTTATTGGTTTTTTATTTTTCAAAAATTTTTTTGATAAATAAATATCCTTAATTTCCATAGTTATTAGATGGATTAAAGTTTATTACTTGTTCTTTTGAGATATTATTTTAAGGATTGACTATTGGACGTCTTATGATTACTGAGTTTATTTATTACTTGTTTGGATAAGTATAATTGATGTAATTGAAAAAGAAAAAACTAAAAATTGGTGATTTATTAAATACAAAATAATAATACATTGAAACTGACTCAAGGTCTTCATTTGACCTTCAAGGATCTTTATTACTTTCTTTTTCTTCTTTATACTTGTTAATTTTAATTAATAAATAATCATTATCTGATTACAAACTCTTTGTGATGGAAATATAGAGTCATTAAATAGTTTATGTAAAGTAAGAACGAAATTAATTAGAACAAATGAACAAGAACAAAAAGGTTTTCTTTATAACCTCCACAAATTATATTAGTTAAATATTTATGTAAAAACAAAATAAAAATTTAAACAAACAATGAAGAATGAATTAGCCCTTAATTATCTTCTTTAATTCCTAATTCTTTGGCTGAAATAGAACCAAGTCCCATCCATCCTCTCATAGCGTTGATAATAGCAGTATCTCTATGTGTTCTTGTATAATCAGATCCTCTCCATCCTTCAACAGTATATCCTCCGGCATCAGCAACATATGCCTGTCTTTTTGGAATTGATTTACATGATCCACACCATTGGCCAGTACATAATGAACAATCAGATAATCCATCTGGGAATCCGTCATTACCATTGGCTCCATCTACTAAAGTATAAGATGACAATAATAAACGATGTGTCCAATTTCTATCAGTTCTTGAGAATAGTTGAACTTCAAATTGTCTATGTCTATCAACATTCTTTTCTTTAACTAATACAGACCCTTGATCGTGCATATCTCTTGATGATGATCCTGGTTTTTGTTGGTCATGATCATCATTTTCAATAACTAATCTTTCCCATTCAATAGTTCCTTCACATTTACCCCATTCATTTGGATACCATGATTGCCAAATTTTAATTTTTTTAACATCTTCATCACTTAATCCATTAGCTTTAAGTTGTTCAGTTAAGTATTTAGTGTATTGGTAGTTGTTATAATTACAAACAAGCATATCAGCTTCACCACCTGTAATAACTTCTAAATATGCCATAAAATCATCTGGAAGTGCACCTCCCATATATGTTTTAACTTTTCCAAAGATTGCTGCAATATCATCCGGTCTAATATGTTTAGCAGCATCCATTCTAATTCCTGAAGCTCCTGCTCCAAGGTTTTCGACAATCCATGTAGCAATTCTATCTCTAACATATTCATTTTCTGTTGCAAGATCAAGTAATCCTGACAAATAACCTGCGTTCATAATAAATCCATCACTCCATGAATTAAGTGATCTTTCACAATGGAAATGTAATGGTCCATAAGCAGCTCCTGGGAATTCTGCAGTATTAATTTTTCCAGTATATTTATCAGTTCCATATGTGAATCCCATAGTATAATATGGTGATTTACTGAATGAAATCTTTGGTCCCCAGAAATTACCACCATTACAATGATTTAATACATCATTTCCTCCTCCAGTCATATGATTTAATACCATATCATTATAAACTAATACATTATGTTTTCTACATGCTTTTACCATTTCTCTATATTGTTGTCTTGTTCCCATTCTTGAATTTAATTTGTATGCAACTGGTTGATAAATCCAATACCATGGATTTAATAAATTATCTTGTGGTTGATCAAATGATAAAACTCCATCTTGTGGTGGATAGACTTTAACAGCCAACCATCCTGCTTTTCCCATAAATTCACATTCTTTTCCAATATCTTCAAATGGCCATCCAAACATTTCTACAATTCCTCCTTTTTGTCCTTTATTATAATTTGGTGCTAAATTAGCAGCTGGGATACTCCAAACAAAGTCAAGTGGTTCAAGATCAATATGTTCTGTAGCACCTCCATCCATATGAACAATAACTCTAATCTTTAAATCTTCTTCTGGAAGAGTAGATTTTGAAACTTCATAAACTTCTGATTCAGATGGAACACCATTATATTCATATGTTATCTTTTTAATATTATATTTTGGGTTAACAGTTGGTACAACTGTAACAGTAGCAGCAGTTCTAGAAGTATCTTTATATTGAATTCTAGCATAAGCAACGACATGTGAATATCCTTGATAACTTTCAATCCAATCTTCACTTCCTCTTGGTGGAGTTTGCCATCTTGATTCTTCAGCAGATGCTTTCATAGCAATATCATTTCCATTACATCCAAATTGACCATTATTTGAATTACATGTTTGAGCAAATGCAACAGCAATGAATAAAAGTAAGAAATTCATTAATGAATTTTAAGTTAAAAAATGAGATTAAATACTCTAACTAAAACCATTGAATTTTCGTATATGATTATTCATTTTCGTTTAGTATATAAAAATTTATAATTAAAATAAGAAATATATTAGTAAAAAATAATTTTCTTTTACTACAAGAATATTTTTATTGAAAAATAATTTAAACCAAACAGAAATTTCTTTCTTGACTTTTGGATTTTTCGACTTTATAAAGAACTATATAAATAATAAAATAAATTATTATTTTATTAAATTTATTTTTAACTTTTTTATTAAAAAAAGGAATAACAAAAAAAATACTAAAAAAAAAAACGAAAAACATAAAATTAATCAGAAAAGATTTCCAACATCAACTTCATCTTTCTCTTTAATCGAATGAACAAAAACTAGATTTGGAAAAACGTCTGATCCTGAATTTTGCCAGTCATTATATATTTCAGTAAAGTATTCATACAATCGTTTACTTGATTTAATATAATTCTTTTGAGAATGTGTTAATTTTTCTAATCTTACCTTTTCAAATCTTCTTCTTACTTTTTTAATAATTCTAATGTCTAATTGTAATGGAGTTATTCCATCAATACTTTCTTGGACTTCATACAATTTTTTTTCAACTTCATCTAAAGAATTATTTTCAATATTTTTAATTTTTGCAAATGTTCCTTTAAATAAAAGTAATTGAGCAAATAAACTAATAACATTTTCTTCCCAAAAATATGCTAATGAACTAAATTGTTTATCAAGAAGATAATCTAAAAAAAAGTATTGCCTAGTACGACTACTAAAAAGGTCGGCATATGAATATAATAATGTTAGTATTCTTTGAATAGTAATTACATTTTCACTTTCGATAATTTTATCAATGAAATTACAAAACAATTTAATATCAAATTCTTTTTTTAATAATAACACTTTATTTCTTAATTTATCAAAAAAAAATTCAAGATCTGATATTGTTGCTATTCTTTATTAGTTTATTGTGTTATTTTTTTATTTATTTATAAAACAAACATAAAACATCATCTGGATCAAAGAAATTTGTTCGTTTTACTTCATAACTCATAAAAAAATTAATCATCTTTGGATGAACTGATGTAACAATTACACCATCTATAGTATGTATATATGGATCTGAAATATCTAAACTATTATAATATTTTAAATATGTTTCAAGAAGAACATCAAATCCATTAAATATAGACCATTGTAAAACTCTAATTATTGAATAACATTTTCTTAGTTATATCTATTTATTGTTTTATAAAAAAATTTATAATAACAAAAAATTATTATAACAAACTTATTTGTTGTATGTTTTTCCAATACAGAAACAACTTCTCTAAAAATCATTATAAAAAACGCTTTTTCATTCTTTAAGAACGATAAATCCTATTGATCAGATTTTGTTTTTATAAAGTGTTATTTTATTAAATATTAGAAACAAACAACTTCTAATTCCATTGGTTTTAATTTTTGATCAAATTCATCCCAACAAAGTAATGTTGGAAAATGTTTCAGAAGTGATTTTTTTGGTGAATAATTAATTTTTATTTGAAATAAATTTGTATAATACTGTGTTAATTTAACTCTGAATGATGGAAATCTAAAATATGCCAATGCAAAGAATTTGACTGAAAAAGGAACAAATTCAGCAGAGACATTCATTACTAATACTTTATCTTTTCCTCTTTTAAATCGTGAAAATATTGATACTTTTTTCTTTGACTGAGCAACAACCACTGGTCTTTCTGCATCAATCGAACAAGTTCTTTTTTCTAATTCTGTATGAAGAGAATCCACTGTTCCTCTATAAATTGCAGATGGTAGAACAATGTCGAATGTCATTCGAGACAAACCTTTAATTACAAAATCAAGAGTTCGTTTTAAATGATCACGATACAATGAATACATATTACTTGATGTATCTGCTGAGAAATTTTCATAAAATAATGGATGAGTGATAACTGTCATAAGTAAATTCAATAGTGTAGTATCTGTTTCTATCTCTAATGCAATAAGTAAACAAGAATCCCAAATTTCATATAATGTTGGTATTATCGTTGGTGGTTGTGTAGAAGAAAGAAGTAATGTTAAGCGCTGTGCACATAATAAAGAAGTTACTGTATTACTTGAGTGTTTTTTATTAAATTGTTTAGCATATGAATTAAATTTAGCAGCTTCTTTTGAAAAGGAACCACTGTTTGGTTTTATATCTTTCATAAAAGAATCACTATTTTATTTTGTTCAAAACTTTATTTTTTATTTTCTTCTTTTTTTTTCCTTATTGAGTGACTGGAATGATTTGACGATTTCTCATAACAATAATAACTAACTTTTTTTAGTTAGTGTTATTAACCATAATAAAATTCATTTTTTTTATTTCAATACCTCCGAGCTCCTTTAAACTTCCTCTTCTTCTTTAATTATTATACTTTCTTTCATTGAATAAACTATAAAATTAAAAGAACTAATAATAAAAACGTCAAAATAAATCCAAAAGTATAGTAAACAAGAAAAAGAAAGTCAAAAAAAAAAGGAGGAAAAAATTCAAGAAAAAAACTTTAAATTATGTAAATTATTGTATTTTTCTTAAAATGAATGATTTACGTGACATAGCAAAACAACTTGGGGTACATACATCAAGTCTATCAGCGTCTTTTGTGAATGCATTTTTTATAACTCAAACACCACAAGAAACTGCGTGTGATGATTTTGCTGAACAATTTACTATAAATCCTGGTCTTGAACGTGAACGAACAATTTGGAGACCAAACAAAGTGGAAACTACATTACCATTACGATGGAAAGTTTTTTTATCGTGCCTTCCTCCTACACCAGAGTTATGGAAAAGTATTGATGAAGAAAGAAAAGATAAATATATTGAATTATGTAAAAAATATCATGAACAATTAACAGTCTTTGAAAAAGAAAACCCAATAGACTCTTATTCTGCAGATTTTTTATCTAAAGAACCAAAAGAAATAGAAGACATTTCTTTAAGAAGAATTATTTGGGAAATTAAAAAAGATGCAAGAAGAACTCATTTTGGTAGTGATAGTTTAAAAAAAAGGTTTTTATTACATAAATTATTATTACTTCATCAATTAGATACTCATTTTGAATATGTTCAAGGAATGAATGAAATTCTTTCAATTCTTATTGATGTATTTGGAATTAATAAAAGTGGAATTGAACTAGAGTCAGAGGTATTCTGGTTCTTTAAAGATTTAATGGAAATAATGGGAGATTGGTTTAAAGGTGGTGATGATGGTGTTCGTTGGATAGCAAAACGTTGTGAAGTTATAGAGTCAATACTTGAAACTAAAGATGAAGAATTAGCTATTCATTTAAAAACACTTAAAATTGAAATGCAACTATTTCTATTAAGATGGGTTCGTTTATTGTTTTGTCAAGTATATCCTATTAACACAATTAAACCAATGTGGGATGTTATTTTTGCATTTAGTGGAAGATTGTCATTAGTAGATCATATTTGTGTTGTTATGATAATTTTACAACGTGCAAAAATTTTAGATGGAGATACAACACATGCATATTCAGTATTATTTAATTATCCAATTGATGAATATCCACCAGATTTTATAATAAATCTCGCATTAGCAAGTTGTATGTGGTTTGAACAACCACTTATAAGGAATCTTTATTTTAAGCAACGAGTTATAGTTAAAAGAGAATCTGGGTTCTGGAGAAAACAAAAAGAACAAAAACCTATTCATCTAAAGAGTTCTGTTATTACTCAACTTCCTGTTCCATCACCTAGTTTCACCCCAAATAGTTCTTTACTTGATAAATTTCGTTCAATAGAACAACACCTTAAAATTGCATTACAAAATATTGATGATGATAGTGACACAGCAGAAGAACTTAAGAAGGCATTATCAGATTTGTTTCAGTTAAGAAATGATATTCAATCTGAGGAGAATTTCTTTGTTATGTTTTAATTTACTGTAAGTCATTATCTTTCTTCTTTTTTTTCATCAGAAGGAATTATCATTTATATAAAATTAGTTTAGGTTATCTTTATCATTTAATTTAAACAAATTTACTCCTTATAGTTTTTCTTTATTTACTATAATAATATTATTTATTTGTAATGGATATTTATTATATTTATTAATTATAGTGGTAACTGAAATGAATATATTAATGTTTATTATTTGGATTATTAACAAATACTTATTACTATAATTATTCTATTATTTAGACAATACATATTTACTTTTCTAATATTTATAATGTATTATTAGTTTGATATCTTCTCTTTTATAGAGTTTAAAATATTTTTTGAGTTATTTCTTGTTAGATAAAATAAGTGATAAAATTTTCAATGAACAATTTCCAAAAAGAATTTTCAAGTTTATATTCCAAAAACATAAATAAAAAAAAATTGTATTAAGAAAATTTAATATTTGAAGTATAAAATTGTTTCAGTTAAGAAATGATTATTTATTTTATGAATAAAACATATTTCTTAAAATTGAATTAAACAAAAATAAAGAATGTTATTTTAAAAAATTCAAAGATATGAAAAGACCTTTCAATAAATTTTGTTAATTAACACTAATAAAACAAAAAAAGATTTAACCTCAAAGAAAATATATTATTAAGAATAAATTTATTTCCAACCACCACGCTATAACTAAGAATATTGAGAATGTCAAAGCAAAGAATTTTGTAACGGACCAGGTTGGTGTTGTTCAAATTGTAAATCTTCATCAAAACTAAAGATGTTTGGAGTACATCCCTTTAATGGAGATTTTGATGGGTCAAGAGATAATGAGAAATTACATAATGGAGAAAGATCTCCAGATGACTCTAAATGATTATCATTACGTGAATAACAGCAACTTTGAGATATTGGAGAAGTGGGTGATTCACCTCTATAATGAAGAATAGAATGAAGTTTTGGAGATGATGGAGGAGGTAATAATGAAACATTAAACTTACAAGAAATTGGTCTAACTAATTCACTCTCATCTACAGAAAAAGTAGTAGGTTCAACTAGTTTATTTGAATTATTTTGTATTTCTTTTTCTAACTCTTTTAAATATTCTTCTAAACGTTCACCTATTTCTTCAATAGCATTTAATTGATTAACATCATATCTAACTGCTTGTTTACGACAAAGAGCACATTGTTTTTGATATTTAGCACTAATTTTCATTCCATGTTTGTAAATAGTTTCTAAATTACCTGAACCAATTTCAAGTGCTCTTGTAATATTTCTTAAATTATGTTCTACGTGTGGAATTAATCTTGTTACTTCAGTTGGAAGAAATACTGTTGGTTGTGTTCTTGGATTAATAATACTTTGATTACAATATCTTTTATAAAGGAATGCATATTCACTTAATTCACATGGGAAATAAGTTCCCCAAACAGCAATAAGTTCTCTTACTTTATCTTCTACAATATTTACTTCATTATGTAATTTCTTCATTTTACCAATTTTTTGTAAACGATTAACAAATGATAATTCAGCTACTTGTGTTCTAAAACAAGGAGAATTTTGGACTACATAATTTGCAAGAACTAAACAATTTAATATCTCTCCTTCAGAAATTCGTTTCTTTGAATAATCACGCATTTTATCTTCTAATTGAAGTCTTAAAGCAATATCTGCTCCATCAACTTTCTCTACAGCATTAACAATAGTTCTCATATCAGAGTCAATTGGAGATGTATGAATATCAGATACTGTATTAAATACTAATTCACTTAATTTGATAGACATCACTGGAATCTAATTTCTTAGATGCCCTCTTTTATTTAAGTTCATATTATCTTAGAGAATTTTCCTCTTTTTTGCAGTAATTTTGATTCTAAATCACTAAGATTTAGACCCTTCTTTTTGTTAGTGGGATCATCCCAATCATAAAGTCAAATCCCTAATTTTTTCCCTTAAAATTCAATTTTTATCTTTTTTCACTTTTTTATTTTTTTAATTTCTATTTTTTTTCATCAACAAAGATAAAAAAACTTTCTCTCTGTAAACCTGATATGATCTCTAAACTGAAGACTTTTCTTTAGATTTAAAGATCTTTTTATTGATTTTTTTTATATTTCGTTGACTTTTTTATTTCTTAGAATTCATTTTTAAATTTTTGTATCCTTTTTTTTATGTAGACATTAAAAAAGAAATAACGTGGAATCAAAATAGGAAAATGTGCTGGATTAATTTTTCGGAAATAAAATTGAACGAAAAATTTTCGGGAAATGAAACCTCTTCGATCAAAAACAGAAATGAGGAACTAATTGTGACTGATAGATTCAATAATGAGTTAAAAGAAAAGTTTAATTATCATCATCAAAAAATAAATAGAATTTTATATATTAAATTGAATTTGAATTGGATAAATAAGAACAAAGAATAGTACAAAAAAAAAATAAAAGAGAATAATAAAAAATAGCAGTTACAGTAAATGAAACTAACTCATCTTATCATAATCACATTTCTTCATCAAAAGCAAATACATCAGGAGAAGACGAATTTTCACAAGGAGACCTTTCGTCTGGAGTATAAGGGAAATGACATGAACTAGTTTGAAGACCTCCCAAAGGAAGAGGACTTGAACTCTCATGTTTTGTTTCAGGTAATACAAAACTATGAGATACAAGAGATTCTCCTCCTTTGTTCTTAATTTTTAATTTATTACAACTTGGAGGTGTAGGTAATACAAATGTATTTTTGTACACAACTTTTGGCTTTATTAACGTTGTATCTTTCATTGAGAAAGCATAAGGTAAAGAGTCTTTTGTTAAAGGGAGTTTTTTACATCCTTTTTCACTAGAAAATATGAGTTAAAAAACGTTTAAAATAAAATTCAAATATAAAAAGAATAACAAACGATATACGTTTTTTCAATATTATTAGAGAATCAGTCAAACGTTTACCAATTGCTTCTGCTTCTTTTAATTTATCCATATCATATCTATTTTCATTTTCATGACATTTACTACATTCTCGATTAAATTTACTATAAAAATGAATATTAAATATTATTTTATACTTAAATAATTAATAAGTTAAACAAACGTACTAATTTTTTCTGCATAATTATAAATACTTTGTAAATCTCCACTTTTTGTTTCAATAGCACGTGAAATATTTCTTAAATTATGTTCTACATGTGGAATTAATTTAATAATTTGACTTGGAAGGAATGTAGTTGGTTGAGAAGATGGATCAATAACACATTGAGTTGTATACTTTCGATACAATATTTTATATTCACTTAATTCACATGGGAAATAAGTTCCCCAAACAGCAATAAGTTCTCTTACTTTATCTTCAACTGGATTTGCTTCTTCATGTAACTTCTTCATTTTACCAATTTGTTGTAATAAGGCCATAAAAGAAAATTCAGCTACTTGTGTTCTAAAATTAGGAGAATTTTGAACTACATAATTCGCTAATATTAAACAATTTAACATTTCTCCATCTGTTACAAGGTGTTTTGAATAATTACGCATTTTTTGTTCTATTTGTTTCCGAAGAACAATATCTGCTCCTACTACTCTTTCAACAGCATTTGCTATTGTTTGCATTTCTACTTCATTAGGTTCTGAATGAGTATCACTTATTGTGTTATATACTAATTCACTTAGTTTAACAGACATATTTTGTTTATTTGAGTTCTTTTTTTTTTTTCTCATTTCCTTTTTTTTTTTATTTCAATATATATCTTAGGTAAACTTATTGTAAGCTTTCATCTTATTTGTTAAAAATTAGGGTTGGAATACAATATGAATTAAAAAAAAAACTAAAAAGAAAAGACTTTTTCATTTTAAGATTTCTGTACTTCTGAATAGTATTCTTTTATTCACTTTCGAAGATATCTAAAAATTTCTATTTCTTGTTATTGAAAAGTCTTCTCTCAAAGTTATCTCTTTATTTTCAGTTATGGTGATCAATTTCGGGAAAGTTGAATAATTAGCATTTTTTATTTTTGTTTCTCAAAATTATTAAAGGTTATCAATTAGAATTATAATATACTATTTAATTTAATTAATTTTAATATAAATATTGTATTAATTGATTGAATTGCCATTGAAATTTTAAGGAAAGTTTGAAAAAAAAAAAGAAAGTTCATTACTGAAATAACAAACAAAAACGAAAACTCAGAAATTTCTATAAATATTAACTCTTCAATCTTCATTCTCATATTTTATAAAACTCAAAAAAATAAATTAAAATTTGTTTAAACTCAAGCAAGATAAATTTTAAAATCATTGTAATAAGGTTTAATAAAAAAATAATAATTTTAATTGGTTGTCAGAAGAATGTCCTCACTTTTGAATTAAATTAGTTTTGAAGTTATAAGAGTTACATAAAAATAATAATGTTTAATTGGGTCATATTTTTTTATCTAAATTATTTGATGTATTGAATACTCTATCATCATACCTGTTTTTTTTTATAATAATTTATTAGAAATAAAGAGTTTAAAAGAATTTTTCTTTAATATAAGATATTGAGTTTTTGAATTTAAGGTAGATAAATTCGTTTTTTTCATAAAAACAAACGTGTTGAATATCAAAATTTCTTGATTTAATAATTTTAATTCATTGATTATTCTTTTTTGGTTTTAAAAAGTACCATTAATTTTATTCTTTCATATATAACTTGAAGTAATAAAATTTCTTGAAGTAAAAAATTTATGAATAATTTACTCTTTATAGATAATATTTAAAATTTATAAGAAATATAATGTAAAATTTCAGATCACATAAATTCGTTTATTTGGTTGTAATACTCAAATAATTAACTTTTTATCAAATGATCAGTTAATTTATTTGAAAGAAAATTGTTTTAGAAATAAAGTTATAAGAATATTATTATTAATTATCAAACAAGAAATAAATGATATTTCAATAATTAATTATATTATTCAAATAATTATTAATAAATAATAATTTAATAAGGAAAGAAAATTTAATAGAACTAACTAATTAATAAAAATGATTTTTTAGATAATTTAAAAGAAATACACTTATTATAAAAGACATAACATTTCTTAAAATAAAATAAAACACAAACAAAAGAAAAATCATTCAAATAAGTTTAATTGGAAATAAATCACAGACGTTATTTGTTAGTATTTATTTTTTTCCAAATTTCTTAGCATGTTTTCCACTTTTCCTTTCTCCTTTTTTATTTTTTTTTCCTATTTTTTTATGGTCTTTTGAATGAACAACTTTCATTCCAGCATTTCGTTTTTCTTTTTTAGCATCTTTTTCTTGAAGTTTAATACTATAAAAATTTCCTTTCTTATTTTCAATCTCTTCTACTTCTTTTGTTTCTTCTTGACTATCCTCTGATGAACTAGATGAGCTCTCTTCTTCATTTTCTTCTTCTTGCATAATAACGCCCATCTCAGTTTCTTCTTTCTTTTTTGATTTCTTTGTATTAACAAATTGACTAGAATATTCTAGTGATGTCATCGTTGGCTTCTTCTCTTCTTCCATTTTATTAGTTTTTTGAATACTTTCATCGTTAATACCTTCTTCCATATTTACTTGTGTTTGAAGTTGTAAATCACTATTAAATACATTGAATGATAAGTTGTTTGTTGTTCCGAATCCAAATGGTTGTTGGTTATTAGTAAAGAATGAGCTGAAGTCTTGACCGTTTATTTTCTGAGAAGAGTCTTCTTTTGATACTTCATCCATTTTTTGTTCAATAGGTTCTTCAACCATTTTTTGAGGTGTTGTTGAATTAGGTTGAATTATATTTAATGGTGAATTAACAGATGTTTCATTTGGAATATCTAGTGCATTATTTGTAATAATTGGATTTGTAGAATTGGGTTGAGAATTATTAAAAGTAGAGTCTACTGTTGTTTGTTGTTGGATTTGATTTTTATTTGTAGTTGGTAGAATAGGTTTTTCTGTTTGATTTGGTTTAATTTCTTGAGGAGTGACTTCTAATGAGTTAACTTCTTGTTTTGATAAATTTTGAGTAGAAGGTTGTAAAGTTATTGCTTGTGGTTGGTTAGTTAGAGTGTTATTAGCTTCAGTTGATAAAGGAGAAACTTTTGTTTGGTCTTGCTGTTCTTCTTTATCTGTGATAGAAGGAGTATTTTTTTCTAAATTGTTTTTGGTTTCATTTGATTGGTTTTGAGTTTGTTCTTTATGTTCTATTGTATTTGTAGTAGCTACATTTACAATATGTTCATTGCCTAAATGCCTTGGAGGAAGTGGGGTAGAAGATGTGGAGAAAGTAGAATTAGAACGTTTTGGGCTCTCTAATGGACGTTCAAACTTTTTTCTTCTTCTTTCCTCTCGTTCTTCTTGTGTTTCAATACGTTTTGGTTGCTTTTTTTGGGGAACAGGAGTACTATCATTTTCAAGTTCTCGTTTAACTGGACGTATCCTTTCAAGAAAATCAGAAACATCTTTACTAGTGTTTTGTTTTATACTATTAGTGTTTGATATTTCTTGTGTTTTTTGAGTTGATAAAGTTGGGTTTAATTCACTAGTTAGTGGTTTTGGTTCATTGGTTAATGGTTTTAATTCGTTGGTTGAGGGATTTACAGTACCAATAACCAATTGCAAAGAAGTAACTGGTTGAGTTGGTTGATTAGGGATTTGGTTTTGTTGAGGTGGTGGTGAAATAGTAGGTTCAATAGGACTATGTTGTTGAGAAGAATGTTCTTGAAGTTTTTGTGATAATTTTTGGGATTGTTCAAATTTAATAGACTTTAACTGTTGAATAGATAAATCTTTTTGATGAAGGTTTAACTGTAATTGTTCAATGCGTTCATTTAATCTTTTAATTTCTGTATTTTTATCAATTAATTCTTTTTCTTTTTGATTGATAATATTTTTAGAATTTTGATTAGAAATATTTAATTCATTAACGTGTTGAGTAACAGTTTGTTCTAATTCTTTTTTGTTTATTTCTAATTCCATAATTTGTTTATTTTTTTCTTGTATTTCATTATTAAGTTTAATGACTATTTCTTCTAAATTCTTTTTATCTTGTTCTAATTGATTTTTTATAATATCAAGTGCTTGTTTTTGTTTTAAATAAGACTCTTTTTCTTCTTGTATTTGTTGAACATGTTGAATCATTTCATTTGCTTTTTCAACTTGTTGCTTAGCTTCTAAACATTCTAATTGAATTTTTCCAATAATTGAATTCTTTTCTTTAATAATTTGTTGACATTCTTCTTTTTCAGACCACTCACTTTGTTGAATAATTTGTTTTTGTAATGACTGATTTAAATTAATTAATTGTTCTTCTTTTTGTTTTAATTCTTCTTTTTCTTCTTTCCATTCTTTTCGTTCATCATTTAATTGATTTCTTAATTCTTTATATTTTTCAGCATATTCTTCTCCTCCAGTTTTTTCAACAACTTTAATAAACTTTTCAACAACAGGTTGTTTTTGAAGCTCTTCAACATTATTTATTAATTCTCTTTTATTTTTATTTAATTCTTCAATACTTATTTTTAATTGTTTATTTTCTTTTTTTAATTGTTCGATTTCAATTTGATTAGAAAGAGGTGTTGGTGTTATTGGTTTAAATTTTTCATAAATTAATTTAGTTTGTTGTATTTGTTCAATTTTTGTGTCTTTCATTTGAATTAAATTTTCCATATTTCTTAATTTAATTTCTAATTGTGATTTTTCTACAGTCACTTCTTTAAATCGTTGAATTAATTTTTCCATTAACCCTTCCATTTGTTTACGTTGTTGCATAATTTCATCAACACATACTTTTTCTATTGTTTTTCCATTTAATACTTCAAGAGCTTCTAATGCGGCTTTCTTTAATTCATCATTTTGTTTCCAAAGTTCTATGTTTTGAATGGCTATCTCACGAGATCGTTGTTCATTTTCTGTAGCTTTTTCTATTGTTTTAATTTGTTCTTCTAAATGAAAAATTTCTGTATTTTTGTTATCTATAACTTGTGCAGACCTTTCTAATTCATCAATTGCAAGTGCTAATTTTAATTGTAATGCTACTGTTAATGATTCTTCATTTTTCCATGAATTGATAGTTTCAGTAGAAATTGGTTGTGGTATAACTATTGTTCCAACATTAGGTAATGATGATTTTACATTAACTTGAGGTGGTTGTTCTGCAATAACATTATAAGTGGTACTTGGTATTGGTTTAACTTCAATAACAGGAATAGGATTTTCAGTGATATGTATTTGAGGTGGTTGTTGTTGAATTGAAAGTTCTTTGACATAAGTTTCCAGAGCATTGATATGATTTTTTAATATATCTTCTTGTGATGCCATTATCCACTGATTATTTTTTTTTCTTTTTTATTTATTCTTTTTTATAGTTTCTATTTTAGTTTTATTTTATTATTTCAATTTACTATTGTATTAATAATTCTTTTACTATTTTCATCTAAGTTTATTCTATTTCTTTACAATTCATAATGCATTATTAGCTTTAAATTCAATCTACTTTATTATTTCTCACTTTCAAAAGCATCAACCTTTTGTTATTTATATCTTTATAAATAAAAGTCTGAAAGTGTTATTGGATATTCCCATAATAATCCATTTACTTTATCAAAACAACAACTTTTATTATTCTTCACTCATTTGGTTCAACAAAAATATTTACTATTATTGTGATGATAAAACCGACAATATTCCTAGTACCATTTAGTATTATATACATTTGAACTACTTGAAAAAAAAACAAGAATAATTCAAAGTATCACTTTAAAAGAATTGGATTTACTTTAAATGACAATTAATAATATAGTTAATTGTTATGTCCATTTCATTTATTTGAAAATAGTCAAATTAGAATCAATACATTACCTTTTTCTTTGTTAAAAGTAGAAATTTTCTGTTTTTAGTTATTGCAATTTACTTCGTTCTGTTTCCATTATAATTCTCCACTACAAATAATTTATTAATTTTGTTTTTCAATGTGGACATTATTATCCCTATAAAACTTACATCCTCTCATTGTTTGTACTTAAAATGTCTAGATATATCTATTATTATTTCAAGCACTCAATAAAAGAATATTTGAGTCTTGTACCAATTTGTCTTCTGTCATATTGCCTTTATCATTACAGAAATTAGAAAAGGATTGCTTTTGTAGTTGTACTTTATTACCAATACTTTATCTGCTATCAACATCACACTCATTGGAACACGTTGTTTTTCTAAACGTACATCTTTTTCTCGATTTGACCTTCCATCAGCTATTTCTACTATGACTCCATCTGATTTTACTCAAACAGACACAACTCAACAATTTTGTTGTTGGATAGAAGATTTTTATGACGTCATTGACAATTTAGAAACAGAGATAGAAGTTCCACTTCGATTTGGAATTGGAAAGAGTTGTTTTTTACTACTATAGTTTTATTTCAAAAACGTTTCCCAATTATTGTTTTGACCCATAATTTTTAATGTAAGTTAGTATTTTTAATATAAAATAAAGTCTTGTTTTACTCTTTTTATCATTATAAAAAAAGTATTACTCTGAGGATAGATGGAATATATTGATTTGATTTCTAAATAAAGAATTATAACATTGAATTTTTAGTAAGAATGTTCATGAATCAAAAATGTAAAACAATACTTTCCGATAAAAAATATTATACTGGTTCTACAATGATTTTATTTGTATGTTTATGCGAAAATGTTTATAAAAAAATAAACAAAAAACAAAAAGTGATGAAAGAAGAATTTGGAAATTATTAAATTAATTCGAATTCATTAGAAAAATTCAATAAGTGATTTATTTCTGAAAGAAATGGTATTTAAATGATAATATTAAACTCATAATTATCAAATGCAACAAACTCCTTTCTATCGTTCACAATTACAACTTATTGGTAAATCACAATCTATTGGACTTGTTCAATATTTTAAAGAGTATCATCTTCAAACAAACCAAGTAGATGAATCTGATTTTGAGGTTTTTAATATTCTTAATGGATCAGAAAACATTGCTTCTGTTTTTACTTATGATGGTAATGAATCTGTAATTGATTTTGGAACTAATCAGGAAAATTTCTGTATCAACTAAGTATTTCATTTTAATGTATGTAATTTAATTTTCATTTATTCTTCATTTATTGTTTTTTATTTCAAAAATAAGAACTCTTAATTAAAAGTAACTAAAAAATTTAATTAAAATGGAAGAACTTTCAAATAAAATTATACAACAATTAGAACTTTTAGAAGATAATTCATTAAATACATGGAATGCCGCTGATGAACAATTAACGAAAATATTCTCTAAATATCTATTTTCAAAACAGTTTCAACCAATTGCATATAAATTATTATTGAATTATTTTATTTCAAACTATAAAAAGAAAACTAAATCAAGTAAATATGCCTTTGTTAAATTAATGCTCATGACAAAATATACTCAAAAAGAAGTTGTTATGAATGACATTGAACAATTATGGGAAATCATAATTAACATTTATGAAAGTCAAAACACTTCATTATTAGAAACTATTTCTCCTTATTTAATAGATCTTTATAACTTCTCTATAACTTCTCATTCAATTGTAATGACACTTAGAAATTACACTAAATTAAATTATCTTATAACTCCAATTCAATTAAATAGAAAATCAAATGCTTTATTTTATTGTATCCTCATTCATCATCAATCAAATACGAATCACCTTACTTCTTCTATTCAACAATTCTCTCAATCTATTGAACAAACTATTCAAAATAAAACATTAGATCTTTTTTTATTATTTATAAAAGAATATATATCTCTCTTTTCTTCAATGAATTGGACTATTCATGACTCAATAATTATTTCAATACTTAATTTTATTGAATTAATTCTTAATAAAAAAGATATTGTCCCACCTGCGTTAGTTCTTACTTCTATTGAAATCATTCAAAATACTTTAAATCTTGTACAAAATATTGATATTAAAGATTCTCTTATAAATTCTCTTCTAACAATTTTTAATTCAATCGGTCATAGTAATATCATTGCATCTTGTTATAATACTTTAGTTTCACTTCTTCAATTATCACCTACTCTTTGTCTTTCTATTTTTGAGAGAAATAAAGAATTCGTATATAGTATTTATCTTCATCTTCCTCAATGTGATAGACATCTCTACATCCACTCAATAAATTTATTAACACAACTATGTGAAATTTATCAACGATATTTATCTTATGACACTTTTTTAAAAATACTTCAAACTTCATCAACAAAATATTTAGAATATTACATTCCTAAACCATCAGATTCAACTACTATTATTGACTGTTTATATTTTAATGCAATGAAACTCATTAGATCTTTTGCTACATCGTCCTCAATCCCAGACTCTTTACTCAATATATTTACCTCAATAAAAGCTAATACGCCTTGGCCTTCTAAAGTAAACTTTTTGAATACTTTATCTTCATTACCACTTTTCCTTGTTACTTCTCAACGTCTTTCTCATTTGTATAGTTTAGCTGATTTCTTCCTTGTCGATGTTGACCAACGTGTTATCACAGCAGCAGGAAAAACATTCAGTACTTTATTTTCTGTATTGCCTTTATCTTCTAAATCTCGAATAGTAACCAAGCATATGCAACAATTAATAAGTAGGCCAGACATATATACTAGAGGAAGCGTCTGCTTAATTAAAAATATGTTAAAAAATCAACCAACGTTATTAAATCTATCTCAAAGAATTAAATTAATTTCTATAGTCTTATTTGTTTTAGAACATTCTCAATGGAAATGTGATATTGATGTTTTAATCGATTCCTTTGAATTATTTACAATCTTAGCAAAACAAGATATTCCTCAGAAAGAATTTTTTACATATAGCGATACATTTACTTCTTTATTCACATTCCATCTAATTCTCTTATCTATATTCTCAACAACACTATTCCCAGAAAAAATTAATACTATTACTAATCAAGTAACATCATCATTTAAATATCCTTATATCGTTGCTGTAGTCAAAAACAAATTATATTCAACTTTACTGAGTGTTATTCAAGCACGTTTAAGTGTACGAAATCCATTACTCTCTTTCACCTCAACAGAAGACTCTTCATTAACACTATTATCTAAAGTATTTAATTCTTTATCTTATTTCATTCTAAAATTACCAGAATGTACATCTGCATATTCAGATGAGATTTTACTTCATATCACTACATTATCATCAATTGATTTATCTGGGTCTATTGCTTGTATGACACAAATCTTATTATATTCACATACAATATCTCCAAACCCTCTCTTGGATAACTCAACATCATTAATTCGCTCTACTTTAATGAAAGAAATGAACTACAGAGATTATGTTAATATCCCAAAGATTGAACCTCGTAAAATAACTGAACAAACATTAAAAGATATTGTCTCTCATTCTCATTCAATCTTCTCACAAATCCAAAATGCAGGATGTTCTTCTATTGACTGGTATATATCAACAAGCTACTTAGCATTATATTACAACATTTTTCTTTCTAAGTCTATTAGATCTCCAAAAAATAGTATGTCAATTATCTATAATACTATTGCCCCAAAAGAAGTATTAACTTCAGAATGGATCACATTTAAAAATTTGGTTCAACAACATAATCTATTAAACGATTTTGTCTTATCTAAAATAGATGGAACCCCAACACTATCAACAATCTTTCCACTCTTTTCAAATATCTTTACTGAAAATCCCCATATAACTAAAGTATCAAAAAAACTTTTCTCTGAAGCTGTGGAACAAGAAAACACATTTAACCAACAATTAGACAAAATAATTATTGGAAATGATTCTGGTGCAATTCAAACAATTAGAATGTATGAGGGTTATATTGAATTATTAAAACAAGAAGAAAAAGGAATATTAGAAAGATTTATTCACTTGTTTGATATGCAACAAATCCAGTTATGTTTAAACGGTACAACAGATGGTAAAGAAATAGTTGAGAGAATGTGTATTTTTGTTCAAGGATTCATTGCTGAAGGATGTAAACAAATTATTATTAAAGAGATGAATCAAAGTATTGTCATGTTATGGAGATTATTAAAAAGAGAAAATACTATAAGAAATAAATTAGTAGAAGGATTAAATAAAACACTTCTTATTAATAGTGAAGGTGTAAATGCTTGGAAAGTTAGAATGTATGCTGTAATCGCCTTACTTCGTTCTTTAACTCTTAGAATGTTAATTTTTATTGGCAATGAAGATTCAATCAAAACTCTTATTGACTCTGCAGTTATTGGAATATGTAATGTTCACTTTGTCTTGTCTCCACAAAGTGAAATCAATTTAACGATATTGAATTCTATTTGTCCTATTATGAAAGAAATTAAAGAAGTGTTAGAAATTCCAGCTCAGCCATCTCTATTTAAGCAAGTATCTCAAACCAATATTTCAATGCTATTTTTCAATAGCTTAAATAAAAAAATTCAATCTCTTTCAAAAAATAATATTATCGAAAAACTGTATTTCTCTTCTTTTATTGGAAAAGAGATATCACTAGAATTAGCAAAAAATGTATTTACTTCCATCCCACTTTGTTCTCTTCAAACATTTTTCCCACCAATGTTACCATTTTTGTTTAGATCATTAACACAACCAAAACAACCATTACCAAAAAAATACCTTAATATTATGCATCTACTTCCTCAAACATTTAGAATTAATTATCTTTCTAATCATGTTACTGAAATCCATTCAATCCCTCAACTCTTCTTTAATAATTTATCTCTATTTTCAGCTCAGACATTAGAAAAAGTTGCTCTCGAAATCACGACCACATCGAGTCTATACTTTAAATTTATTGACCAATTCCCTGATGCTCCGATTTGTGAGTTTGGAGAGGTTTTTGATTACATATGTGTTAAATTTTTAAAAGAACAACAACCATCACAATTTACTCAAGCCCTTGAAATGAATACTTGTACCTTAGAAAATTTGATTAGTCTTTCAAAAATTGTATCGGAACAAATACCATATCTCTCTGGTTTAACTGAACTTAACAACGAAAATTTAATTAAAGTTGGTATGGGGGTATTGAGTAAAATGAGTAATAAAACAACTAGAATGCTGATTGATGGATTAAACATTTCATCAATGAGTTTAACAATGAGATTCTTTATTATGCTAAGAATATATTTGTCTAAATATATAAAAGAATTACCCATTTTTGATACTGAAGGAAATGTTCTTAGACTTGAACCTCAACAAGAATTTAGTGATAAATTGTTGATGAGTGATTTTTGGGATTGTTGTGAAGTAAATTCATTAGAA